AATTACATGTAATTGATGCAATTTTACTGAGTTATGTCATTTGGGTGTGCGTATACATGTTTCTTTAAGTAAAGATTTGTTGTTTTTTGTGGTTGTGTTGCGAAGAAGTCAGACTATTACGTTCTCATTACACATAATGAAACCAGTGAATAATTGCCTATTTGTGTTTTGGTGCCGGTTAAAGGGGTTTGAGTGTTTTTTTTTTTGTGTGTGTAAAGGCTGTTCTAATGATGTACAGTTAGTCCTTTTGGTTTTGCGTTTACTGGCAAAATCATCAACTACAGGAGCTTTCTGTGCTGTAAACGTAAAAAAAAAAAAAAAAAAAAACCTATATAGTGTAAAAAGTACCTGGATGGGGTCTTTGGACTGTGGGAGAAACCGAAGCACCCGGAAGGGAGAACATGCAAACTCCACACAGAAACGCCAACTAACCCAGCCGAGGCTCGAACCAGAACCTCAACTTGCTGTGAGGTGACAGCACTACCTACTGCGCCACTGCCTAGTTTTTAACCCTTCTTCTGGAGAAAAATCAACATGTTTGTATTTTCTAAGAGAAGTCAGGATCACTCTTGATTTATTGTGCTCCCTGCAGTTAAAAAAACACCCTTTTTGAGCTTCAAAATGCAGTTAAATGAGATAATGTTTATAATGTTTATTAACATAAATGAGTTAACTGTGTTTTGGGAGTTAACTGTGTTTTTAAAAAAGTTTTGGAGCATCTTGCAATGTAAAAATGTTTTTTGTTTTTTATAATTTCTCATAAGCGTAGTTTATTATTAGGCTATTCATAGGCTATATTTGTGAATACAGCTGATGTAAAAGTATTTTTAATGTTTAAAATTTATTTACGCTACTGCAGAAAAAAATACTGTTTTCATTGTAACTGAATGTGTTTATTTAACTATTATTATTAACTTATACTAGTTTAGGTGATTGACTGCTGGCATTTTGAAGGATGATGTAACGTTAACGTAAGTAGCTATGTAGTCATGAACTTTGAATTTGTCTTTCTGCAGTTAATGCACTTTAGAAAGATATCACTTTGACAGATTTCTTGCGTTTCCGCTCATACAAAAAAACAACCGGTTGTGTTTGTTGCAACGGGCATTGTCGCTGTCCACTTGGAAAATACAACCCGTTTGGTTCACTCCACAAGCTTACGAGCTGTGTGTGTGAGAGTCTGTGCCGCGAGCTATGTGTGCGTGTGCTTAGGGTGAGCTTCTGCTGAGAAGGCTTTTATACTTGACGCGCTCGCCGGAAACACGAGCATTTCTCATGTGAGATTGCCAACTGTGCAGACGAATATCACAAGTTAGAAAAGATTGGTCAGTTAATTATGCTACTGTAATTAATGTTTATTCAGCAATAGTTCTCCAGTACCGATAGCAGAACCGGTAACATCAGAGCTTATTGATACTTTGGTCTTTTATAAGTAGCACTGATACCGATAAAGTACTGAGATTCGATACCTATCCCTAATTATGACAAGCATTTGATTTGTTTTTTTTTAAATTAAACAGTGATGTGCATGAGAAGAAATGTTTAATAGTGTCAGTATAACTACTCTAGCCTAAATAATGCAACAGGGAATTCAATAATGACAAATGTCTAATTTTACCAGTAAAAAAAAGGCAAGCAAATGTCTCGCTGAATCATGCAGCGGTGATACTGTACAAAGTGTCTTATCTGTTTATTCCCTCTCAACAATGCACCAATTCTCACCTTGTGTGTCAATTTACTTGTTTATACACACACTGACTTAAAAATTTCAGGCTACTCTACTGTGCAGATCCATCTTCAACTTGTGTGTTGTTTCCAGCATGTGACCTACATGACATTTAGGCTTGTTTTGAGTGTTTTTTTAAGAGATATACAACAGCTTGGTGGTTCTGTACTGCTTTACTGCGGTCTCAGGATGGTTAGTGATGTTTATTCCCTTTAAACAAGAACAGAGAATGCTATGCAACAGCGAACACCAAACAACATTTCCAGCGCTGTGGCGATCGCCCTCCCACATGGCATTTTCAGAGATTGAGGTTTTGACTTGAGAATCGAATAAATGATGCTTCATGACACGTCGCCTTGAGCTGAGCTAAGTATATGAGCCACAGCTGGAGCCGGGCGGTATTTTAAGTGTCAGACAGGAATTGTTTTTTTTTTTTTAAATCAAACCACTTAGGACACTAACACAAGCCAGAGCAGCATCAAAATACCACTCGATTTAAACTTGTGTTTATTATCCAGGCTCTGATACAGCAAACGCTCTGTGGCTTCCATTCTGGGAAGAGCAGTGCTTAACCTTACAATTTACCATGTGTCTAAAATCAGTTCAATAGGCAAGAGGAAAGAGGAAGACAAACAATCACAGCGACGATGTGCGCAATGCAGGATTGGTTTTTCTGAGGTTTTCCTCGTTCTTCGCAAGATTTCTTTGTTGAACTTTTGTTTGAAAGGCCAGAAATAGTGAACAGCGGGTTTAGTAAACACTTTCAAACACCATTATTCTTTGATCTGGAAGAAGGAAGTGGATTTTTTTTTCTACATAAAAAAGAAAATCCCTTTTGTGCTGTGGTGTTAGACAGACAGGTGTGGTCTTTGTCTCTACACTTCCTACAGTCAAAAATACATCTTTCAAAAATACAAGCTTCTCACAAAAGCTGCATTCATTTAATTAAAAATGCAGTAAAATATATAGTATTATATTATTACAACTTAAAATATTTATTTTTATATTGAATGTAGCTGAAACTTTATTTATTCTTGTGGTTTAAAGATGGATTTTTGGCATCAAGTCATGAAGTATTCATTGTCACATTATCCTTCAGAATTATTCTTATATGATCCACTGATCAAAAAACATTTTATAACTATCAGTGTTGATATTTTTTGTAGAAACTGTGATACTGTACTAGGGTTGGGTATCGTTTGGGGTTATTTCGATAACGATGCTAAATCGATAATTTTAAATTGGTACCATAGCCAAAATGGTGTCTGAACCACTACTTTTGAGCCATAAAATTATGGTGGATGACTCTAGAAAAAATCCTTTATTTGAAAAAAAAAAAAAAATGATTTAATCATTTTAACTGGACAATATAATTAATGTTTTAAAGTATGCAGCAATTCATATTTTATATACTTGAATTGAATTGCATTAATATATTTCTTTTGAACATTTGTGTTTGTTAGCATGAATTCAAGATTTGCATTATGTAATCAACTTTACATTAGCTTACTACTAACCTGTAGAAAGGCTGTCATCAATATCAGGGAACACCTCTTTTCTAGGGTTGAGGCTTGTGACTATGTTTACATGGACATCAGTAATCTAATGATTTGCCTTAATCTGAATAACACAATAATTTGATTAAAGTGTTTACATGAGTTGCTTTTAGAATGTTCTTTTTATGATCCCTTTTTGGATGTTGTAGCACATAGATTGATAAACGTCATTGCGTCACCGTGCTTTCCATGTTTCCTCCGGAGTTTCATGTAATTTCGAGGGTTTCATTTTTATTTTGTCGACTTTAACTGCAGTTCGGCAGTTTCACTTTCATTGAGCAGCATATTGTTCATGCCCTGTGATAAATAGAGGTATTACATGATGCATTTTGTGACGCGGGTCTCTGGGGTCCTTTAAGGTAATGAAAAATTGCTGTAATGGTATTAAAATTGGAGTGATAGTGTCCATTTAAACGAACTCAGTGAAAGTGCCAGATGATGTCGCAAGCTTTCAAAGACATCAAAAACATTCTTCTGCCTTTAAGTTGATTCCCTGTGCCCTTAAATGCTTCATTAAGTTTGATATGTTTCCCCCCTTACATGCAACTTTTGTAAAACATCAGCTTCACAATGCTGTGTCAGAATCCTTGCTTGTAAAATATAGCTATACTTTAGAGTGCTCAGTTTAGGCAAATTAGACAAATCTAATTGTGTGTGTTGATGAATCTGAAGGGAGTTGCTTACCGGATGCACTGTACTGCACGCGTTGCCTACATGCGTTGCATTCCCTAAAGCAACAACAACAAACATCTGACATCGCTGACAGTGTCCGTATTTCTCAAAGTTGTTTAGAATTAAATGTTTATAATAATTTTATAGCATCATCATTTATATTTAATGACATTTTAATGACAAATTCAATTTGTACCACTGTAGTTGAAGTTAAGAAAAAATATTAATGGCACCATGTAATGTAATGAAACATGTAATGAAACTCATAACACCATTCCAATAGCATCATGACAAACATATTCATGACAGATATATTACAAGTTATGTTCTCTTGCTAATGTCAAAGAAAGGTTGTGATGTATTTGTTTATGTGTAGTTGTCAAAGACATCTCAAACTATGTCTTATTTGCATTTACACTAACAACTGAGTGAAAGACACGTAAAAGACAGTTGTTTTAAGCATGAATAAAGTCTCATTCATAATAATGACATGTTTTTATAATGATTATAAGTGTGCCCTGACCATCTTATGAACATCCCCTTCAAGTGTTACCAATGGTTCAATTGTGAAATTAAAGACATGTGTAATGTAAAAATGAATGCTGCTTAAAAAATAGATCGGTTTTCAGAAAACCTTGAAGCTGGAAAAATTATTTGAAGATTGGTAATTCAAAGAATCATTGTTATTGACAGCAAATTATCATATTAGAGTTATTTCTAAAGAATTATGACACTGGAAATATGGAGACTGGAAATTTAGCTTTAAAACCACAGGAATAAAATGTTTTAGCAATCAATATGAAAACAGTTTTACAGGTTTTGCTTTGTTCAATCAAGTGCATCCTTATTGAGCAGAAAAAGCTTCTTCTAAAAATCATACTAATTCCAACCTTTGATCGGAAGTGTTTTGAATCGTAACGTACTGCCCTTCTCCTGTTTATTTGCGCGCTAGTCTGTCTACCGTGTCACTGTCAGACCCAAGTTTCATTACTCTGAGGAAGTGTAAGCAGTTGTAGCTCTTTCAGGGACACATCATGCTCGCTCTCACCGTTTGCGATGTTTATTGGGATCATGGCCAAACTGTAACCAGCGGAAACTCGGGCCCTTGTTGGACTGAAGTCAGCTGACTCCACATTCCCATGGTCCTTCCAGAGAAGGGCATCGAAGTCAATCTCTGAAAACACACGACAGAGAAAATGTTTGGACAACAGCTCAGCTGAGCATCATGGGAAGAGAACCGATGACAGTTTTAAAGGGACAGTTCACCGCAAAATTACAATTCTGCCATTATTTACTCAACTTCATGTCATGCTTGACTTTATCACTTTATTACATGGAGAATCAAAGAGGATATTTTTAAATGGTTATGTCCTTAGTGACATTTTTGTTCTTTCTTTCTTTGTTTCTTTCTTTGTTTGTTTGTTTCTTTCCTTCTTTCTTTCTTTCTTTCTTTCTTTCTTTCTTTCTTTCTTTCTTGCTTTCTTTCAGATCTTTTGTTTAATAAATTTGGCTGTGGTAATGCAAACAACATAAATAAAAAAATGCCAAAAAGTCTTTTTAATTATTAATTCAATATTGTTTGTTGTTGTTATTTTTTATTTCCTTTTCTATTTCTTTTATTTTACTTTCGCTTTGTTAATAAAAACAGTTTCACTACATGAGAAATTTCTAACTCTAAGAGTCCTGCAAGAACGCTTACTTTGCCATTCCATTCATTCATTCATTCATTCATTCATTTTCTTGTCGGCTTAGTCCCTTTATTAATCTGGGGTCGCCACAGCGGAATGAACCGCCAACTTATCCAGCAAGTTTTTACGCAGCTTATGCCCTTCCAGCCGCAACCCATCTTTGGGAATCTTTGCCATTACGGATGCCTTTATTATTGAGTTATTCGAGTCATTGCAGAGATGTAAAGTATGGATGCAGTCCTCCAAGCTCATGGGAGTCATATTAGTCATATTAGTAGAGACAATATTAGTTATTTTTCAACTGCACCATAACTTTATATTCTATACTATACATTATTTCTGTTAAATGACAAGACTTTTGACTCAGCAAAGTCCGACCTTACTGTTCTAATTAAATAATTAAAAATCAAGGCATGATCATATTGTAATACAGTAAGTGTCAAATAAGTAATCTAGAGTCCTTTGCCTTTCAACTAGAAGTCAAGTTATTATTTGTTGTTCCTAAAACGTGGATAGGCAAAGTCAACATGTGCTTATCTTTGAGTACATGGAAAACAATATTTTTTAAATTTTCTTTTTGTTTCTGTTTTTAAGACAACAGTCACATTATTTAAACAAATGTCGAAATGAAATATCTAAAATGAACGATTTTCTTTTCTGTCAGTTAAAGTAATGAGAAATAAAAAAACAAATTATATGTGCAAAGAAATTACCATGAGAAAAAAACTAATCTTGCATGATCAGACATTGGATTTGAAAGTGAATATAAACTTGAAAAGAAAACTGTTCTGTGGGTGAGAAACCAAAACAATTCTTGTAAAGTTGATGTTGATGCTAACTACAGCCACAACCTGTTTCAGTTTATTGTTAGAACCACATTTTACTCCTACAAACAGTGACATGCATGCTAAGCATACATTACAACTCATATTTGACAAAATGTGCATATATTGAATAAATTGTGTGCATTCTGAACACTGAACAAACGTACAAGCTTGTTGTGTCCATTGAGCTTGTCTATTTGTTTGTTTGACGTCTTTGTTAGGGATTTCATCTTTCATACAGAAGGAGTTATTTATGCGCTGAATAGATGTTATCTGCATTTGAGGAGGCGGACATGAATGCTTTATTAAATACTGCCTTCTTAAGCTCTGATTTCCTATTGTTTTCAATGCTTAATGTCTTGAAGCATCAGAACTCTCGGTCAGAGATGTTGTTTAGTATTCAATTCAATTCAGGTTTATTTGTAGTAATTTTACAATAATTATTGTTTTAAATCAGCTTTACAAAAGGTGCACATTATTGCATTACAATCAAAATCAGACAAGTTAAGGAGTTGCTTATGTGGGTGGACATTATATATAAACATAGTTAACCTGCAGTTGCAGGGTGCGCAGTTTAGTACTGTTGGCTGTTGATCATATGGTGGTAGCTATGCCTAGGAAGACTGAAAATGGATTTCCTTCTACAACTAGATGATAGTTTTATATTGGGCTTGTTGACAAGTCGGTAGCTTTATTTACATCAAGTATTTATTGTAATATAATTTTGCTATGTTGATTCAGGCAACAAAGTTTGACATGAAGCTATATTTTGACATGAATTGTAATTTTTAGTCTGAGTGCAGTGAGACTTAATTAGCAGTGAAAATTAAATCACACAGAACTGAACTGACTGAACTTCAACTCTGAAAATGGGACTGACAAAGTTTCAACCTACTAGAACTTCTATGTTAAACTGCTTTGACATAATTCTACATTGTAAAAGTGTTATAGAAATAAAGATGAATTTAATTTAATTGAATAGATTTTCCACTAAATACAAATTTTTTTTTAAAACTTATACTATTTCTCCACAATTTCAGGTTAGTTTGTGAAGCAAACAGGGGCGAACTTAACCAATAAGCTTTAAATGATTAGGAAAACCATTAATCCAGATTATTGCGTCATATACCGCCCCCTTTCCAGTTGAACACATTTGTTGCTCTTAAAGGCGCGAAAGACTGCATGCTTCTGTGTGTGTTAATAATACATTAATACATTAAACATATTTATATAAATGTAAATAATAACATAATAATATTTATATACATGTTAAATATATAAATATACATAATATATTTTAAATATATATATATACTATACTACCCGCATATATTATTAATAATAATCTGAATATGTATATTAGTAAATTATATTAATACAATAGATGCGACGGGGTGGCGCAGAATAATGCTGTTGCCTCACAGCAAGAAGGTCGCTGGTTCAAGCCTCAGCTGGGTCAATTGGCATTTCGGTGTGGAGTTTGCATGTTCTCCCCTCCATGTTTCCCCCACAGTCCAAACACATGCTGTATTGGTGAATTGGATAAACTAAATTGGCCGCAGTGTATGTGTGTGTTTTAGTGAATCAGTGTGTATGGGTATTTTCCAGTACTGGGTTGCAGCTGGAAGGGCATCCGCTGTGTAAAACATATGCTGGATAAGTTGGCAGTTCATTCCACTGTGACGACCCCTGATGAATAAAGGGACTGAAGAAAAATAAATGAGTGAATAATATAAATAAATTTTGATTTGCTTGTGGAGTGAAATTAATATTCCATACAATATCTAACTAATATGTGTAATATAATGATATCAATTTGATTAAAGGGCACCTTTGGTGAAAAATCTACTTTTTAAGCTATTTGGACAAACATATGTACATATATAGTGTATAGACCATCATATTGGAGTGATATAAACACACCCAGTCCTTTTTTTTTCAATTTTACAACATAAAAACGGTGGACCAATTAGAGCGGTTTTCAGACCGACCGCAACTTTACGTAGGTGTGCGGTCCCCCCGCCCACCTAATTGATTGACAATTGCGCGCATTAACATGTCCCGGTAGTCACGTGTATATATCCACAAGACCAGACATACGCAAAGTAACCCGGGAATAAAAGGTCTGTTCAGTTCGCTAGGATCAGCAATCATCATCAAATGTGATCAAGAGTAAGTTTCACATGTTTAAAATGTTTTAAAACAGAGCACGTGCGTAAAGAAGTACAGCGATTTTCTTTAGCTTTACTTCACCAGCACAGCCATGTGTCAGAACAATTATAAAAGAAGACGCTTCAATCCTGGTTTGTGAACGTTAAATCAGGTTTATTTTGTACAATAACATAACAGATATCCACACAGCAGTGGAGGTTAGCCTGTATCCTGTCACATTTGAGTGCAAAAACAGTGCAAAGCTAAGCGCGCTCTGTTTGTCTGCCTGTCTGTGTGTGTGTTAGTGTGTGTGTGTGCGCGTGAACTTTGTAACGATATTGCGTGTGACTTATCAATGCGATTTCACAACAAATACTGATTAGTAAAGTTCTTACTGTAGTATTTCTCACAAACGCTACGTGAGACCTTCTTCCTTTAAGTCTGTCTGTTGTCTGACGCAGCCAAGGGAGGAGATTAAAGCACGCGGGAAGGCACGTAGAAAAAGTAGGCGGGGAAGACTCATCTTAAAGGCACAGTACGACAAAACCACCCCCTGGTGGAAATACGTATAAAACAGGATCTTGTAAATGGTATAATGAAAAATCTGATGGGTGTTTTGAGCTGAAACTTTATATACACATTCTAGAGATGCAAAAGACTTATATTAAATCTGAAAAAGGGGTAACCTAGGTGCCCTTTAAAGTTTTAAATCCAAATAACATTACACATTTAAAATTCTAGTATCACTGCTTGAGATTTCTAGTCAACTTTACACAATTTAATGTTTGTTTGTTTGTTTTATTGTGCATGTTAGACAAAGGTGATTATCTACCTTAGTTACTGCAATGAGTAACCCAGTTCAGACTTGAGCTATTTGATGACATCCGTTCTACTCTTTCCAGAGCCTGAATGGCAGATTATCTGCTTGTAGAGAAAGACAGATATTGCTTGTTATTGCATCATTGAACTGAACTGGGCCTCTCCCTCCTAAAGGCAGAGCAAAAACACTAGATCTCCACAGCAAGAGGGAAGCGAACCGCAGCGTAAAGCTACAAGAGAAACATCAACATAGGTTAAGGCACTTTATAGGTCATTGCACTAGTTTAGAAACTACACAAGTTATTATTTAACCAGTAAGATATGAGAAGCTGCAGTGTAAACATAGTCACGGCTAAAGAGTTTTTATACAGGAAAGCATCTGCAGCTTTATATGTTGTTGTATTTCTGGTTCAACAGAAGCTTTGACTGCTGTGTTGCTTTTATTAAAGTGGTGCAATTTGCTCTGCAATTAACAACACAGTGTATGAATTACACCTTCATTTACTTTTTAAAAAATTCAATTACTTATAATTTTATTTTCCTTAACTTTTACTGACCGCAGAGCTATACACGTTGTATATACAGATTAATGAAGGTTTACACTTTTTGTCAAATTAGTAAGTAAAATTAAATGATTTGTCTATTCATTAAGTAAAATCACCTTCTCATTAATTTATTCATTTTCTTGTCGGCTTAGTCCCTTTATTAATCCGGGGTCGCCACAGCGGAATGAACCACCAACTCATCCAGCATGTTTTTACGCAGCGGATGCCCTTCCAGCCCCAAACCATCTCTGGGAAACATCCACACACATTCATTCACATACACACTCATACACTACAGACAATTTAGCCTATCCAATTCATCTGTACTGCATGTCTTTGGACTGTGGGGGAAACCGGAGCACCCGGAGGAAACCCTCACGAATGCAGGGTGAACATGCAAACTCCACACAGAAATGCCAACTGACCCAGCCGAGGCTCGAACCAGCGACCCAGCAACCTTCTTGCTGTGAGGCGACAGCACTACCTACTGCGCAAATGCATCACTACAATAACTTCTCCTTAATGCAGTCAAAATAATGAGAATATTTCCAGCTCAGAAATGTACAGCTCGGCATCGGGATCTTCATTTATGTGCTTCCATGAATTTTAACTCAGCAAATAACTTTTAAAGCAAATTAATTAAACCTAAAAGTAACCTGCATTACATTTTAGACATCATTACTTATTTTTTTAAGTAATACCTTTAATTTAACTCGTTACTCGTTACTGTTGCCTCAGCAGCCAATTATCTTGCTTTTCAACAATTAAATACCTCATTTGTGCTAACAATCTGCATGCTACATTTATGTTTGCAGAAGCAGCGTATAATATTCTGTCTCACATAATGATTATGAATATAATGCCAATATACACTCACCGGACACTTTATTAAGTATGCCTTACTAGTACTGGGTTGGACTAATCCTTCATAGCATAAATTCAACAAGTTACTGGAAATATTGCTCAGAGATTTTTGTTCATATTGACATGATAGCATCAGGCAGTTGCTGCAGATTTGTCAGCTGCACATCCATGATGCAAATCTCCCATCTCTACCACATCACAAAAGTGCTCTATTGGATTGAAATCTGGGCCCGGTTTTTCAAAAGTAATCCACTAGGATTTTGGATAAGAGATTGGATCAAATCTTGAAAATGGGTTTTTCAAAAGAAAAAACGGATTGCCTAATCGGATTAGATCACGTAATCCAATCTTGGTTTTGATCCGGATCAAACCTTTAGTTTGGGTTTTTCAGACCTTTTTTGTAGGATTTGGATCGCTTTGATCCAAAAAACCTGGATTAAACTGATCCCATCAGAAGGGTGGATTCAGCGTGGATTTCATGCCTAAAATGTAATGAAAACTTAAAAATGTATTAAATAATACTATTTTTAAATCATGCAGTATATAACGAGATATACTATTTATTAATAAGGTTTTAATTTTATTTGTATATCTGTCAGGCTTTAGTGATTATAGGCTTTAACATATTCAGCCTTTCAGTATAGGCCTACAGCAAAGAAGAAAGAGTTTGGCCTAATAAAAAAATAATCCCCCAAACAGCTGTCAAAATTGACCAAAAACAATAAAAAATGTTCTGTCACTAATTTATATATATATATATATATATATATATATATATATATATATATATATATATATATATATATATATATATATATATATATATATATAAATCACAATGGAAAATATTTTTCTTTTTAGAATATTTATCAGTGATGCATGCAATGATAACAGAATAACCAAAAATAAAAATGCAAAGAATGGCAATGACTTTAGATTTCTCTTTCAACAATTGCAAAAAGAGACAGAAAGGGCAGAAGCACAGCTTCATCTGGCAGAGAACAACTGACTCTGACCAAACTGCAGCAAACCAAGACCAGACTTGAGATCTGCCTCCTAAAGGCTGCGCTCAGACAAGCTGGTCTCTCCACATCAGATGAGGAAGTCTAAAATTATTGTGGAGTTTTTGACATTAAGTCTTTTTTATTTACATCTAAATTTGAAACTTATTATAAATATCCTCAATGTACAGTGTTGTAGGTCTCAGATGAGCGGACTGCTGGAAGAGGATGGGGTGGGGTTTTTCTTGTTTTTATTATTTATTATTATTATTATTATTATTTATTAAATTTTCTTAGTTTTCTTTTCAAATAAAAATAAAGTTATATTGACCCCACACTAGCTATTATATTTGTTGCTCTTTACACAGGCCTCTCTATCTACATTGTGATTGAGCACTGGTAATCCAGATTTAGTGATCCTGAAAAGTTCCTATCCGGATCAGATTGATCCAATCCGATGTTGCTTTGAAAAACTGGCTCAAAAAGTAAGCTGGATTACGTGATCACAGATCGCAAAAACAGGATAACTAAATCCGGATCAATTTGATCCGGATTAAACCTTTTGAAAAACCGGGCCCAGGTGACTGTGAAGGTCACTAGAGTATAGTGAACAACAAGTGAACAAGGCAGGATGAATCATTGCTTTTGTGTTGTTGACACTAAATTCTGACGCTTCTTTTATTGTCCAATTTTGGTGAGCCTGTGCGAATTGTAGTTTCCAGTTTCCTGTTCTTAGCTGACAGGAGTGGCACCCAGTGGGATCTTCTGCTGCTGTAGCCCATCCGCTTCACGTTCAATGTGTTGTGCATTCAGAGATGCTCTTCTGCATACCTCGGTTGTAACGAGTGGTTATTTGAGTAACTGTTGCCTTTCTATCAGCTCGAACCATTCTGGCCATTCTTTTCTATCCTCTGGCATCAACAAGACATTTGCGCCCACAGAACTGCTGCTCTCTGGATATTTTCTCTTTTTCAGACCATTCTCTGTAAACCCTAGAGATGGTTATGCTTGAAAACCTTAGTACATCAGCGGTTTCTGAAAGACTATACCGTCTGACACCGACTACCATGACGCGTTTAAAGTCACTTAAATTACCTTTCTTGACCCTTCCGATGCTTGGTTCGAACTGTAGCAGATTGTCTTGACCCTTTCTACATGGCTTAATGCATTGAGTTGCTGCCATGTGATTGGCTGATTAGAAATTTGTGTTAACAAGCAGTTGGTCAGGTGTACTTAATAAAGTGGCTGATCAGTGTATATAATAATCAATAATCAGAAACCAAGAAACAGATGTTTGATGTCAAGACCAAAAACATCAACAATGCCAGATACATATTTATCACCATATTAAATCTCTCAAAGAGTTGTTATGACAAAAATATATTGTTGTTATTGTTATTATTATTAATATTATAAATAAACATGTAAGGCATTATTTGAGCCATGGAATTGCAAACAGTTATAATTTCTCATCATTGCATTACATAAACTTAATCTTTGATCCCTTTAAAATTTTAAGTATGATAGGCAAATATTTAACTGAACAAGAGAGTGACGCTTAGTAAACCAACAACCAGCACTCACTCATATGTCATCTACATAACAAAATCAAGACAAACAACACATTTCATTGTACTAAAAGACATGCAGTGTGGCTAAAAGCAGCTCAATAGCTTCTTTGCCCTAAATTAGATGTAAACAGCACATGATTACCTACTCTTTCTGTTTCATTTCTGTTTTTGACTTCTTGTTGTGTCCAGTACGGTCTTGTTTTGCTGGAAGGCAGAACAGAGTATGGCCTATATAGTCAGCTGTGGGACGTCCGGTTTGCTGCTGACCCCTGGAGGGTGTGTGGGTTGAGAGACAAAGCCTCCTCATTTACCCGTCCCTCCAAAAGCCATGACGAATGCTTGACCTCCACCTGCAGACACACAGAACACCAGATAACATCAATAGCAATTAGCAAAACATTCAGAGTGTTTTACATAATGAGGAAATAGTTGGCTTTGTTATGAAACCCAGTTGGTTTAATATACATAATCAGGACTTGACATTAACTTTTTTGATCATTAGCCACAGTGGCTAGTAGTTTTCCAACATTACTAGCCACTCTGCATTTTGACTAGCCACAGTCTTGTTGTTGGGAAAATATTTTTATATGCATAAATTTGACTTTGACATGCTAAAATCACTAGATTTAGATTTTGTGTTTTGTCCACATGCCTCCTCATTCATTTCACATTTTGTGTGTCATATATGAGCTATGGTTTCATAGTGTTGTATTACAATTAGTTTTTATTTCACGTGACTTTTCAGAACTTATAATTAAGGATTTACCAAATTTATCTCTGACCACACCAAACAATAATTATTTCTTAGCCAGAAATTTTAAATGTGTCAAAACAAGCTAAATATAGCTATATACTATACTTTTTATTTAATTAAACATTTCTTAACAAAAAAAAAATGTACTTTTAAAATTAATCATTCTCATGTATCAAAAATATGCACAGTAATCTATCCTTGCTAAAGGTCTCTCAGATCACTAGTTAACTACACATAAATGGAGAGGTTATCTCATATTAAAGCAATGTTGTTGTAAATAACGATTATTAAACCATATAAACAAAAATACCTGTGAGCAAAAGAAAGCAGGTGAAAAACATACTGTGTGATAATGAATGGATGATCACATGGTTAAGGCTAATTAATCATTTGTTCGAAGCAAAAGCAACGGGTGCTGCTTAAAAAACACATTTTGAGCTCTTAAAAGCAGCAAGACGGGTGAATGAGCATAACTTTTTGTCTGTTCTACATGAAAGAGAACCGGTCACAGCAGCGTTCCAGGCACGGTTGCTTCAAGCAAGGAAACAGGAGCGCGCACACGCTTTAAACAGTCGCGTGCATCACATCAGCTGTTAGCGCGAGTGATCATCTCATACCTCTCATATACCTCTCATTCGGTATTCACTTGCTTTCCATTGCTTGCGCGAAAGCAATTTTTTTTTTTGTTAGTCGTGCTGTTTCTCGATTCTATGATCAGATTTGCACGCATATTGGGTCATCTTTATAGTCGAACCCTGCTTTAAAGAAAACCACAATTTAAAAATTATTTTCAACCACTTGAATTATTTTCAAGTGGCTTGTGGGAGTGTCTGTCTAACCCGCCAAAGCTGAAATCTACCCGCATTTGGTGGGCGGGCGGGTGTTAATGTTAAGCCCTGTATGTAATGTAATTGATTGAGTGGTTCTGAAAGGCAGAAGTGGTTCACTGTTGTGCTTTGTGGAGTTAGTAGGATTCACTGAGTTGCTAATAATTACTTCACAGGCATGTACAGTATGTGTCATTTTCATTGGTATTTTCTTTATTCAGGAAAGTGTTTACAGCTTTATGGCAAATTTTTTATTCCTGGTATTGAATTAAGCATTGAGTGCAGTGGTGCTAAATTTGAAAAAAAAATGGATTAAATATTCTAAATAATACACATAATATAATTTTATACATATTGTGTTAAATTAAATATGATTAGTATAGTAATAATATTAATACAGTAATTTACAGTTTTTCTCAGTCACTTATTATATTATGGTATATTATGTGTATATTATGGTATTTATGTTAAAATTTAGCAAAAAAGTTAGTCTATTTCTCAAAGCAACGCATACAAATACCAAAACACCATGGATTACCTGCAAAAGCCAGTCTCTTGCTCAAAATCCTTATTTCAACTCTCAAAACTACATTTCTGTGTCAATAAATGTGTCAGTGCCATCAGAATTAAAAGTCCTTGTGTCATTGTGTACGGAAAAGACTTTAAGTTACGTTAAATTACTTAGTCCTGTTGTAAATCAAACAGTGTACTCTGGAGGGGTGTCCTGATATAAAATATGGCTATTCTATTTATTTATTTTTGCTTTTTGTACTAATTTGTTGGCAGATCATGTAATTGTGATACAGAAAGGAAAAGACAGCACTGCATAGTACAGAGAAAAAACAAAACAAAAGCAGAAATGTGAACATAGGAATCTTCTTTGAGATGCACCTTCATTAGAAAGTCACAAAATTCCCCTTGAAGAGATTTGCTAATTGTAGATCGATTTAGAAAAAAATAAGTCTAATGGAAATGTTTAGAAAAATGCATAATGACAAAATATTATGACAACTTGTTCAGCCATTAAGACTTATGCCATGAACAGTGAACAATTGAATTGCTGAAGTAATACCACAATATATTGTATTGCACTTTTCAGAAACTAACTACAAAAATGCATCTACAATACTGCAAGACATAATAAAGCTAAAGTGCACTTTTATTACTTTATGTACCTAAGTGTAATACATTATTTAACATGTATTGCAGTAGCAGTACTACATTATAGTAGTAGTACCACTTCAGTACTACTGCTGCTTTTGTAATATAGTAGTATTCAGTTGAATTGCTGTAGTTGTACTGCAGTTGGTTGTATTGTAGTATGTCAGTTGCATTGCAGTAATACTGAAAAATACTTAACACAGTTTTTTCGTGTCCAAAAAACTGCACTTTTCAGAAGTTAACTAGTACTGCAGTATTGCTTTAAAAAAAAATGCAGTATTCTTTTTTTAAAAAACTGTAGTAATTTTTTGCAAGGGCAATCTGGCTTTTGGCACAACGTGAGATGTGGACATTTTATTTTTATTTATTTGTATTTTAAAGTATGTGTTATGCTTTGTTTTGCTTTTTATTGTTAGCACTTTGGACAACTGTGTGATTTAAAGTGCATTATAAATAAAATTGAAATTGGAACTCACTTAATATATAAAACTGAACTGAACTAAACTGAATTTTAACTCTAAAAACTGGACTGACACAGTTTCAATTTACTAGAACTTTAATGTTAAGCTGCTTTGACACAATTTACATTGTAAAAGCGCTATAGTAATAAACATGAATTGAATTTATTGAAGTCAGAACTATTTTTGATTTTTTTTTTTTTTTTTTCCCAAATGATGTTTAACAGAGCAAAAAAGTTTTCACAGTATGTCTGATAATATTTTATCTTCTGTAGAAAGTCTTATTTTGGCTAGATTAAAAGCAGTTTTTTTTTAAACCATTTTAAGGTCAAAATTATTAGCCCCTTTCAGCTATACTTTTTTTTGATAGTCTATAGAACCATCGTTATACAATGACTTGCCTAATTACCCTAACCTGTCTAGTTAACCAAATTAACCTAGTTAAGCCTTCAAATGTCACTTTAAGCTGTATAGAAGTGTCTTGAAAAATATCTAATATTATATTATCAACTGTCATTACGGCAAAGATAAAAGAAATCAGATATTAGAAATGAGTTAATTAAACTATTATCTTTAGAAATGTGTTGAGAATATCGTCTCTCCTAAAAAAATAAACAGGGGGGTAACAATTCAGGGGGGATAATAATTCTGACTTCAACTGTATAGTAAGTACAGGAGATCTTGAGCACTGCTATGATGCTTTTCTTTATGCTAACTCTGTTATTTGTGTGTGTTTAGTGCTGGAGCAGCTGTTGGAGCAGCTGCAGAAGTTTCTGAAGATCCTGGATGTAGAGAAGCTGAGTGGAAATGCCAAAGTACAGAAGGGCCTTCTGATGGAGCTGCTGCAGTCCTACAAGTCCTCCAATGGTACATTATTAACAACACACTGCCTAAACTAATCATCTCACTATGCAGAAACCCATCTCTGCAGATCACTGGTGGTCCATGAAGGACTTTCAAGGCATAGTTCATGCCAAACTTTTCCTAACCATTTATTCACACTCAAGTGGTTTTCTGAATTTCTTTTATGAACACAAAACAGGATAATCTGAGGAATGTTTAAAAAAACAGCCATTGACATCCATTGTAGGAATAAATAAATACTATGGAAGTAAATGGCTGCTGGTTTCCAACATTCTTCACTATACCTTTATTTGTGTTCAAAAGAAGAAAGAAACTGGTTTTGAAACAGTTTTGTAACAAGTGGAGTATATCAAGGTTATTTTAGTGAAGAAAAACTAGAATAAATAAGAATAAAAGTACAGTACTGGTAAACAAAAAGAAAAGATTTTTGATAATTTAAATAAAAAGAAATCATAATAAATGAAAAACTAAAACTTAATTAATTTGAAAAACTAAAACTAAATAAAATATTAATAAGCAAAAATAATCTTCAAAATGAATATGGCTAAAATTCTAACCTGTGACTGTTTAGAGATACTTTTCTATAGACAATCAAGACATTCGTCAAGACCATGATTATATACAAAAAACATATTTTATATAAACATAAAACATGCTCTAACTGTTGTGCATTTGCCAAAAAAAGTCAGGCTCGTTAAACAATATATACATTCTTTAATATATAGAAGATGGTCTTAATTCTGCTTTTTTTTACTTTTATTCATTAAAGTTGCATTTGCATGATTTTGGATTCAGTGTGCAAACCATTACTTTATTTTTATTACTAAGTTTTGCACAAGAGTTAATGTAAGCTGTGCAAACACTAAACTTTGCTGTGGACACAGCAAACTACTATTAACATTTCAACTGAAACTACATATATTCAAACTAAATAAAAATGTGTTCACAAGATAAAAACTAAACTAACCCTAAAAAAAACAAAAACAATTTTTTTTGGATGAACAATCCCTTTATCAGATTTATCAACAGCTAGACTTGACAGAAAAGTTGTTTTGCCATTAAAAAACTACTATAAAGAGTATGAAAGGACAACTTTGTTTTAATTATTATTGTTTCTATTTGTGGCTGATCTTACACATTTGTATCATTGCTTTACAGATTGTTATGCCATTTTATAAATGATTTAGCAGAGTTGACCTGAATGTACTCAAAAAAAAAAAAGATCTTATGCAAATGTTAAGTTAACTTAGTAACGCAACACAAAAAAGATAAAAATTAGACTAACC